AGGACTCCATGATAAAGTTTACAGGAGGGTGAGAACAGACACTGTTCCTAGCCCTGTATGAACTCCAAATGTTTTCCTTCTAATTTTTTCTAATGGCTCTTTCCTGCAGACTCAAGGAGTTTTCTCATATGCAGGAACTGATCAGTATTCAAATAAATACTTAAGGGGAACGCTGTGCAGGTTTCTGGAGTTCTCTCTCTGTGCACCTCTCCTCGCTACAGTATTTTGCCCATGAATTCTGGCTATCTTGGTCTTTCCAGACACTGAACTCTGTCTCTCAAATTCAAGAAGTTTGCTGGGCTCTACCCAGGTTTCACCTTTGCACTGTGATATAGCAATTCTCTCAAGACAAAAAGTTGGAAAAACAGAGCTTGTCTTATTTTTGTCCTGCACCTGAGGAATCAATCATTGGCTTTCACTGCTTGTTTTTCCAGTATCTTAAAAACTACTATTTAATATATTTTTGCTAGGGCCACAGATGATGTGGTAATTAAGGTGCTAGATGCCCACATAGCTGATCATGGTTGAAGTCCCAGACCTGCAGCTTGCTTTCTCATCTTCTCTCTCTCTCTCTGCCTTTCTCTGATGACTGTGTGTGCCCTGTAGCATATTAAATAATAATAATGATAAATAAAATGAATAATTCTTTAACAAAAAAATTTCAAGTTTTTTTCCCCTGGAGAATTTTCATGTCCTGCTCTTGGTAATTAAAAGAGGTCAAAAGTAGCAGTGGCCAGAATGCCTAGCCTCACTATCTTCTCACCCGAGGCATCCGCTGATGAGTCATCCTTGCCAGAAATCAGCCTTCTGGCCCTACCATTATATGTACTAGCTCATATAACCCAGTGTGCTTGGCCCAGGGAGAGTCGCAGGGGCCGCTATTCCCAATAAGGGTAACTTTTGTCTAGTTTGCCTGATGGTTCCACCTGGAATGGCAGCCTTTCTGACCCTTCAATCCGCCCGGTCCCTTCTCCAGCTGGCCACCTTCCCTCCGCTGGCCTGGAGGTCCTGAGCAGTTGGTTTCAGGGATGGTGGCTGCCACGGCACACATCCGACCCAGTGTCCTGAACTGACACAGACTGTGCCTCCATAACCCTGGGTTGTGGGGGAACAGGAACAGGTCAGAGATGCCAGATCAAGTTCCCAGAAGCTGAGAGGGCTAACCAATGAGAAAAGGCCTGAACAAATTTTTCTTTTTAAATAGAAATGATACATTTAAAGCATTTTTTGAAAATTTCTGCTTGGAGTTATTTTCGTGTTTAGCTTTTGCAGTATATATGTGTATGTTAAATTTAAACCAAGAGACAATGATAGTTCGTTGTCCAATTCTAGGGCCTAGAGCACTTCTGTTTTCTTCAGGAATAACATCTAAAACCTTCTTTTAACCCTTGAGATGAACTATACCGAACTTAAATAGCCCATGTGTTAGTCTGCTCAGGCTGCCATGACCTAATACCACAGATGGGGTGGCTTAGACGACAGAGATTTATCTCCTCATAGTTCCAGAGAGGCTGCAAGTCCGAGATCAAGGCGCCAGCAGCACTGGTTTCTGGTGCAGCCTTTGGTCCTGGTGTGTCTCCCTGCATGTCCTCACGTGGCCTCCACTCTGCGTTCTTATGGCGAGCGAGCTCTATGGCATCTCTCCATTTCCTTAGCAGACATCAACCCTACCGCATCAGGGCCCTATCCTTATGACTTAATTTAACTTTAATTACTTCCTTAAAAGCCCTATCTCCACATGTGGTCAGTCACATGGGGCTTGGAGCTTCAACATATGAGTCTTGGGGGACATAATTCAATCCCTAGACTCCCTGAAACAAACAACATTAGCAGTAAGATCACCATTCTCTTTC